TATTTCATATAGTTTGAGAGGAAGAAATTATAAATAAGAAAAGCATACTATTATTGAAAATAATATAATTAATGATGTATGTGTCAACCAAACAATCAAAAACAAGAAAGAAGAACACAACACGTAAATTTTGGCAAAAAAACAAAGAAGAAAAAACGAGCTTGACATGTCTAATAATCTTGAAGACATTTTAAAAATATTTTTCCCTAAATGTACTATATATAGGTAAAAAAGTGAAAAAGTACTAGGATCCGATGTATTTTTTTTTAATTAAAAATTTTTAATTTAATTTTCACGATTTCTCTAGAAAGTGCTTTCATTTTTAGAATAATATAAATTAAAATTTTTAAATTTAATTTTTACAATATTTTTAAAATACTTTCATTTTTAAAGTGATATAAATTTAAATAAGTCAGATCAATAAAATATACAAAGCAAAAAAAATAAAATTAAATAGAATACAAACTTATATAAATAATCACATAAGTCATGTCAGCGATAGTAACATGTTAAATCTTAATATTATATAAATACAAAATACTTTATAATATAATATGTTATAGCATCCTATATTATAGTGGGGTCACAAGGAATCAAAATATTCCAAGAAAATTAGCCAAACACAAGAGCCATCATACTTCACATCAAATATATTTAAATAATTCACTTGACATATTGGTCTTGGTTTGCCAAACCAAAATTTTAAAAAAAATAAAAATTCCACATTATATATATGGGATAGGAAAAAAGTAAATAAAATAGTCCCACTAGTTATTCAACTCCAAGATCATAATAGAGAATATTTAATTATGGTCCTAATTATTCATTTGATAGACTAAATAAATACTAATAGATTCTTATCATAACATAGTTCATAGCACATATTGTCCATTCTGATCCTATAATACTTGTGATTTATCTCTTAAATTATGACATTATTTAGCTCAAAAGCGTGTATATCATATATTATACTTGTATTTTAGTGGTAGAATTTTCATTGCTAAAATTTATTTTTTCCAATGCTATGGTCCAAAATTTTGTGTTTATTGACTGTGAAGATCTTAATAATAATAATAATAAATTATACTTGTATTTTAATGGTAGAAATTCATTGGTGAAATTTTGTATATATAATATGAAAAAATCCTCTAGGTAGAGACATTCTACACTAACATTTAATGTGCATTGCATATTCTCTTGGTACTTGTATCAATGTCAATAATAGCAATAACAAATTATTCAAATAGTACTATCTGCCTTTTGTATTCTGAAAAATATGTCAGCATGTTTAGTATCAATGAAATAATAAGATTGATTTATATTTTAAAGAAGTTCAACATTTTACTCTCTCTCTCTCTCTCTCTCTCTCTCTCTCTCTATATATATATATATATATATATATATATATATACGATATCATTTTTCAACGAAAAAGGTTAATTAGAATCCCTTAACTCTGCTTGACTTCGCTATCGCTCGTTCATTTGTAAGAATATCGTCAAACATCATTCGTCTCTACGGGAATTATTTATTTTCTTAAAAAGAAAAATTCTATAACATTATATATATATAATTTTTAGGATAGCCTAACGTTACATGTAAAGTTATAGTCACGTGATCAAAAAGTCATCATAAAGGATAAATATATTTCCGAGTTATCTTAAATGGTATGAAGATACTCTCCGTCATACTTTTGAGACATTGGAGCCCCTGTCGTTCAAAAACTAGAGCAAATATGTCCTTCATTCTAAAAGAAGACTAAATAGGAAAACGTGACATAATCTTATCCGTTGATCCGATATTTAATAACGGTCATATCGGTGGATAAAATTGTGACACGTGTATGTCCATTAGTATAAAAGGTATATATGCTCTAATTTTTAAACGACAGGGACAACAATATCTCAAAAGTATGACGAAGGATGTATCTACATACCATTTCTTATAATTCGGAGTATATTTGTCTTGTTTCTCTTTAACTATAAAGAACAACCTCGTACAAAAATATAAGCGCTATTGACTTAATTTTCCTCCAAACATTGCGTATAACTAAAGCTTAGTACATCCGACTGTCTTTCGGTCAAACTACATACATATAAGATAAAGAGCATGGACAAATGACACAAATCCAGCGTGGCAAAATCAGAGAAAGTAAATGAAAATGGGGCCCAATAGCACGAGTAGTACTACCTGGAAAAGCATCCAAAGGGTCTTAATATGGGCCCACTAGGCCCAAATAAAGTAGGGCCCATTTAGAGAAAGCCCAAAAGGATTTAGATCTAAAAAGGAAGTGCCACGTCAGAATATGGGGCCCATTTAGACGTTAATGGTCGTAAATTGTGATAGTGGGGGCCCATTTAGCACCGGCCCTTCACTATTAATTTGGACTTTACGTTCATAACCAATTTGTCCACAAATCAAAAATAATAATAATAATTCAACTTGGCTTTTATTTTTTCTTCAAATTCCTAAACATTCTCATCTTGACTAGTATTGTAGAAAAAAACATTTTACTATTTTTGGTGAAATTTTGATGTGATTTTACTCTAATGTAATTTTACTGTTGTTAATGAAAAGGTGTGTCATGCCGACAATAAATAAATAAAAAGATAATTTAATGTAAAAATTATTTCATATTTAACGAGATCTGAAAGGATCGTCATATTTCAAAAAGAAGTAATGTAGGTAGTTTATCTTCAGCATGTATTAATGTCTGATCATGACCCGAATTCGTGATTAATAGATCGATCCAATCCAAAGTCGGCAACAGAAAATGTATAATTAAAATAGTAATATCACGAGTTTAAGTTGTTTAATATTTTTTTTATTTAATTTATACGATGCGAAGAGTTATGGAGCTTTTGATTTAACTATAATATAATATTTGTTTGGTTATAAAACTTTTGAAATACACGACTTAAACCTATGAAATATTTAATAAGTTAAATTATTTTTAGATTGTAACATATTTTATAATTTTTGCAAATAAAACAACCTATTAAAATGAATTTAACTAAAAAATATATATCATACCACATTGATAAATGCACACATAGTTAAAAGAAAATATGTTTCAACTAATTAAACATTTATACAATAATTTGCGAGATCCAATACATAACATTAAAAAAAATAGATAAAAAGGTTAGAGTCATTATTTACATGGATTAGCAACTTAATTCATTCGAGCGATAAAAGTTGTGATAGAATGATAAATATTTTTTTGATTTTTTTAAATTTAAATAGAAATTTCAAATTCAAACGTTAGTTACGAAAGCATGATTGTTACAGAATATATATATTAAGTATAACTTTTCGATATGAATCAAAATTCAATCGAACCCTACTGAACGTTGGATGGGAAATTTTAAAAAATTAAATTAATTTCCTTAAACCAAGAGATTTTGTTGTAAAGGAACTAAAATTAAGAAAAAGATTAATTTTTAAAAATTAGAAGAACATGAAAGCATGATGGTCTTAGTCACCTACATGCCCTACTGCACAAAACACAGAAAGAAAAAAGATATAATAGCTGTTATAGTAAATGGTCTCCACCACCATGTGGCATTGCTATTTCCCAATCAAAACAAGTGCTTTTAGACAAACCTAATAAATGAATTTATTAATTACATTTTTTTTAAAAAAAAAATTGTGTTTGAGTCGAAGATCTATCGAATCACGTATGTTTAGTTATCCTTTAAGGTAAAAATGAGATTTCATGTACACACTATTCTTTTCACTTGCGGCATGAGACTAACTATGTTATTGTTACTGTATTATTACGTAGAAAATGCCTAATTTTGAAAATCAATAAGGAAAAAATAAAAATAATGTGTTGAATATTATTTTCTTAGAAAATATTATCGATGTGAATTTATTCATATTGGTGGTCCTAAATTTGAATGAAAAGATTAATAAGTAATTAAATGAATATGTAATGTCACCAAACGGAAAGGTTTTTATTTTCAAAATAAATAAGGAAGAAAAAAGGAAAAGAATGTGTTAAGAGTGTTTTTCTTATAAGAGATTGTTAATGTGAACTGATTTATATTGTCGATTTAATGTTTGAATAAATAAATTTATAATCTTGTCAAAGAAAAAACTCTTCATATTGAAAATCAAAAAGGAAAAAAAATGTGTAAGAATATTATTTTTCTTAAATTTATTCATATTATCAATCTCAAGTTCAAATTAATAAATAAATTAATTTATAATGCCATGAAAGAAAAAAATTCGCCACGTTGAAAAACAATAAAGAAGAGAGGGGAAAGAGGATACAATTTTGTTTATTATTAACTAGATTTTCGTTTTGTGATTGTTGAAATTTTAACTGTTTTATTCATAAGTCTTAAATTCGAACTATATGAAATTTTTTTAAAAAAATCCTCAATAAAAAGTGTTTTACTTATAAATACCATCTAATGTTAAGACTATATATTTAGAAAATGAAAGTTTCAAATTTCAAATTTTACTTGTTAAATTTTAAATTCTATAATAATAGCTAAAAAAATGGATATTTGTGAATTTTACTATGTGTTACTTGATGGACTTACTCCATTAGAATCTAGACTAATCGAATGTGTAAATTTAAATATCCGATAATTATAACAATAACAACAGACTGAATATTATTCCATATATATATATATATAGAGAGAGAGAGAGAGAGAGAGAAATCTTAATTCTATCTAAAGGTAATTTTTAATAGATCCTCAACTCGCGTATGAATTGATTAAACTTATATTATATAAGGTAAGGAAAAAAGGAAATATTTTGTATGATTACTATTATTTTCTTATTATTATAAACATAAAGTAAAGTAAAAGTAAATACATTTACAACTAGACATCCAAATCTTTTGTACACCCTTAATTGTCAGTGATATGAGGTGTCAATATGTATATACTTGAAGATTCTTTTTTTCTTCCATTAATTAATTTTATATTAATACACTCCATTTTACTTTCTCTATATAAAGCTCTCTCATTTGATCATTTTTTCCATCAACAAATTACAATTACAAATATTTTGCCCCCTTCCATTTCTTAATTTATTTTCCTCTTTCCCATCTTCTTATTTTCCAACTTTCTTCCAATGGCCAGTGTTGAGGTATTTTTATAATAATGTTTTCAGCTAGCTAATTAACTTTTCTCCAATTTTTTTGATATCCTGAAATATTATTAGATCGTTCTTGTATAAAGGTGTGATCATATATGACATCAAGATTTATTATCAATTTAATTCGGATTTTTTAAGAACGCCAACTAGCATGTCTAGATCCTCCAAAAGTAGTGAATTTTTGGATGATCAGATCGATACTAGTGATGAAATTTTTTTAAGCGTCAGAGTAACGTAAAAAAATTAAGCTAGTGATCTGATAGCTCATAGGAAAACACTAAAAAAAAATAATAGAATCTTGATCTTACTTACTAGCTATAGTATATGTTTGTTACTATATAAAATAAAAAGCAGAATTGTTTAATCTCTAATTTTGTTAAAACCATAAGTGATAATTTAATTTAATGGATCTTTCTAACTTAATTGATTTTTTTTTGTCTTTGTGAAAGGTTGAATCTGCACCAGTAGCACCAGTAGAGACTACTCCAGCTGAGGTTGAAGTTACCCCAGCTCCAGAGGTAAACAAGGTAACGTTTAATTATCTGATCGTCTTATCTAAAAGTTTAATATGTTAAAAGAAGTTACACTTTTAATTACTTAATCATGTTTGTAACATTCGCTTACATGTTATGTTGCTTGGAATCTTTAAAACTGTGATTGCATGCGTTCCTATCAGATCCTCAGAAAGTAATATAATTTTGAAGGATCTGACACGGATGCAATATTAACATAATCTGATTTTTCTTTGCTTGTTCAAACACGTGAAAGTTTTTTTTTTTAATCATAGTAGTGATGTGATTTGAACTCAGGACATCTAACTGCTCTGATATCATATCGAATTTTAAATGATCATATTATTTAAAGTATATATTAATTAACTTAATTATATCTTCAACAGGCGGAGGAACCAGCCCCCGCTGTAGAAAAGGATGTTGAGGTCGAATCAGCACCAGCACCAGAAGAGGCTGCTCCTGCTGCGGAGGAAGTAGCAGCCCCTGTAGCTGAAGAGCCTGCGGCTGCAGAACCTGTAGCCGCAGAATCAGAAGAGCCAGTGGCAGTTGCAGCAGAACCTGTTGCAGCTCCAGTTGAAGAACCTGTGGCTGCAGAAGAACCTGCAGCCGCAGCTGAGGAACCGGTTGCTGCAGCACCCGTTGAGGAGGCTCCAGCACCCGTAGCTGAACCCGAAGCAGCCCCAGTTGCAGAACCCGAAGCAGAGAAAACAGAGGAATCTGCCCCTGCATCTGAGGAGCCAGAGAAAGTTGAAGAGTAAAATTCAAATGGTTGATGAATGATGGTTTTTTTTTTTTTTTATATTGAAATTTGGTTGTGTTTATTGTGTTTTTTAGTTGAGTATTTTATTTACTGCTACTATTATTATTACTAAAACTATATTTTAATATAATATGGTTACAATGAGGGCATATGTTAATATTAATATATGCCTAGGTCTAGGTGGTCGGGTGGGATATTTTACATAGTTTTTTTTTAAAGCTATGTGTGTAATCTTGTCCAGGGTTCAGTTTGTCATGGTTTGATTAAAGATGATATGAGATTTGATCTCTAGTTTATTATAATAATAAAGGGGTAATAACTTTTTTTTGTTGTTTATGAATGGACTCTAAAGAGGGCGAGTTTGAATGTACTGCTCCCCCAGCTCTCTAAGGAGGGTTTCGTAATGGTTTTTCAAAAAAATCGATCGAAAGCTATATCATTAAAATTTTAATGGTTAATACATATAAAAAATTGAGAAAATTACTTATTCTTGTAAATTGATTCCTAAATACTCAAAATGCACTCTAAAAATGATGACATTGTATATACAAGTCCCCAACTCTCTACTAGTGATTTAAGTTATGGTTTCACAAAGAAATGAAAAGTCACAACACTTTGAAAAGATCTCTTCTGAGTTATGAAACAACATATATATCCTCTATCAATACCCCTCACAAAATCTTGTTCCACATCCGCCATAATTTTAGAAGGAACAAATTATGGGTGGTTCAATGAATCAATAGGAAAATAGCATAGATGAGGTACTTGAGAGAAAAAAATCCAACAAGTTTAGTTGATAGATAGATAGATAATACAGATAAACATAGGGTAGGTAGGTATATAGATTTATGTTATCAAATATTTTTCACATATTTCTTCTTAATTTTATGTGAAAAAACTTTACGAGAATATCCGTAATAAGTAGGAGAAACATACATATAGTCTAATAATTTTTAAGTCATATTTTCGTATTTGCCAACCAACTTTTTGGATCTACATGATTTCTCATATTAGCCCATGAATTTCGCACCTTGGAGCACTCAAATATTTTTCTAAAAAGACTTTATGTGGACCACCGTAATGAGTTGGGAAAACCCTATGTATAGTCCTACCATTTTAAGGCCTATTTCGCATTACCAAATCAACTTTTAGGAATACGCGACTTTCCCAATTGTTCGCGTGTATTAGCCCATGGATCTGACGCCTTAGAGAATCCAATTTTATTTAAGGATTTTGTAATGATATGGGTTGGAATTACGTATATTCCCACCATTTTAAGGTTAATTTTTGTATTTTTTGGCCAACTTTTAAGAATTACGCGACTATTTGAATTTTTCGTGTGTATTAGGCAATTGATCTGAAACCTTGGAACACTGAATTTTTTTCTAAAGAACCTTTATGGGCACCTCCGTAATGAGTTGGGGAAACATAACATACAATCTCACCATTTTACGGCCTTATTTTTGCATTACCAATCAACTTTTTGAAATTACGCAATAATTCTAATTTTTTTTGTGTCTTTTAGCTTATGGATCTGGCTCCTTGGAGCACCCATAAATTATTTTAATGAAAAAACATTATGAGTACCTCCACAATGAGTGAGCAAGTATTATGTGTAGTTTCATTATTTCAAGGCATATTTTCATATTTATTAGCCAACTTTTAGAAGTTAGGCAACGTTTTCGATTTTTGATGTGGACTAGCCCATGGACCTGGCGCCTTAGAGCACCCTAATTTTTTTTCTTCTAAAAGAACTTTATTAGAACCTCCATAATGAGTTGGGGAGATATTATGCATAGTCACACCATTTTAAGGCTCATTTTTGCATTTACTAGCCTACTTTCAGGAATTACCCAATTTTCTCAATTTTTCGTGTGTATTATCCCATGGATCTAGCACCTTGGAACACCAAAAATGTATTTTTGAAAAAACTTTTTGAGGACCTCCATAATGAGTTGGGGAAACATTATGTATAGTCATACCATTTTTAAGGTCCATTTTCGCATTTCCTCACAAACTTTTAGGTATTACGCTACTTTTCTTATTTTTCGTGTGTATTACCTTATGGATCTGACACCTTAGAGTATCCAAGAAAAAATATTTTTTATATTAGGATATCTATAATGAGTTGGGAAACATTATTTAGTTCCACCATTTTTAAGGTCCATTTTTACATTTACCAATCAACTTTTAGGAATTATACAACTTTCTCGAGTTTTTGTGTATATTAGTACATGGATTTGGCGCGTTAGAGCATTAACTTTTGTTAGAAAAATAAACTCTGTAAAAATTCGAGGAAGCATTAATTATAATCCCACCATTTTCTAAGGCTTATTTTCGCATCACCAATCAACTTTAAGGAATTACACGACTTTTCTGATTTTTCAAGTGTATTAACCCATGAATATGGCGCCTTGAAGCACCTAACGAGTGATACCAATCAACATCTTTAATATCAAAACATAAAATAGCTATTTAGATACAATTCGAGCATAGGTAAGAAAACCTTTCACCAATGTGAATCCATGTGTGAGAAAATCTTTTCCAATAACATTGATATTTTCATCTAAAAGCACCCTATAATCATAACCATCGTTTTCATAAGAGATGCATAATTATTTGGGAAATGTATTTCTCACATATGGATAAGTGATAACCAAATTCATGGTCTAATACACACGAAAAACAAAGAAAGTCATCTAATCATAAAAGTTGACTCGTAAATGCAATAATATGCGTTAAAAATTGATGGGAGTATATGTAACATTCCCCCCTCCCCCCAAACTTATTACAAAGGTCTTCATAAAGTTTTTTTCGAAAAAAATCTATAGTACCCTAAAACGCCAAATTCATGAGCTAATACACATGATAAATCAAAAAACCATGTATTTCCTGAAAGATGGTTTGTAAATGTAAAATATGTCTTAAAATGACGGGGAAATGAGTTGTCCCAAAAGGTCCTTAGAAATGTTGTTTAAAATATTTGCTCTTCCTAAAAAGATTCTGTTTTAGACAATAAAAAAGATCATTTTTTCCGGTTATTATACCTTTATTTTAATGATATTATACCAACTACAATGAACATAATAAATATTATAATTTTTTTCTTATTGCGACTAAATTCCTACATGAATAATTTTTTTTTCAATTGAAATAAACCTGATTAAATTTTTTTTAGCCAAATAACATACAAATAATAAGCATTTTTTTTTAAAAAAAAGGTCCAAAAATAGGCCGAAAAAGAGGTCTTTGAACGTGTTGAAATCCTTTTTTTACAAGGGTTAGCTCCCCCAGTTCTTCTTATTGTTTTTCGTAATTAGTGACAATGGATTATTATCACAATAATCAAATAATAATTATTTGAAGATATGCATGTCAGTTTTCCTAACTGAATCGGCCAATGCACACCCCTATTTTCCCACTTGTTATTGTACATTCTCTAACTTTGTTAGGTTTCTACCAACGATGCAATATTTAAGTAATAATCAAAAGAAATATTGTATCTAAATTAACAATACATTAAAACATGTAACAACCATTCAAACAAGGTATTATTGTAAATTTAGAACAAGTAACTTTGAAGAACATGTCTATAAACTCTGAAATCTTTGCTTCGCCTCAGCCTCTAATCACAAGGTACCGAAGCTTGATGCAATATTTAAGTAATAATCAAAAGAAACATTGTATCTAAATTAACAGTACATTAAAACATGTAGCAACCATTCAAACAAGGTATTATTGTAAATTTAGAACAATTAACTTTGAAGAACATGTTTATAAACTCTGAAATCTTTGCTTCGCCTCAGCCTCTAATCACAAGGTACCGAAGCTTGATGCAATGTCTCGTTGGGTGATAATCATGAGTCGATCTTTCATGTCCGTCATGGATTGATAAACTGGTAAGCATAGTTGGTAGAAGCAAGTATGTGATGATGGCAAGTGATCATCTGGCTCTAAGGTTTTGTGGATGGACAGTTTTGAATCAAGACCACCAAATCCATCAAAAGGCAAAGACTTCATTGAAGTCCAAAAGAAAAGGAGCATTTTCTTCTGCTCAACAGACATAGTCTCTACTATCTACATGCAAAAAAAGACAAAGAAAGAAAACTAATTCACATCAAACTTAATGAAAATGAACGATCTACCATAATGACAGAACATTCTGAATAAATCAATGTGCATTTACGGGTAGACAAGAATAGGCGTACCTTCCAAAACCAGGATATTTGAACATCACTTTCTTCATCATAGCCATTGTAATCAGTATGTGCTCTCCAATCCTCGACAGAAATATCAATTCTACCGCCAAGTATTAAGTTGAAATCTTCAAGGCTTAGACACCGGAAGAAGAACTCTGACTTAGTTATTACATCTGAAAAGCCTTTTGAGAAATACGCGACCTGATCTTCTATTGATGTAACAAAGCGGTGTTGGATAAGAAGATCAACATAAGCCTCCCGGTTCTTGCTGTCCACAACGATATCTTTCCCGTTTGGACATAGCTCTATTTCTCTCCGCAAACCCAAGGACTCAAATTCACACACAAATGTTAACCCTAACATATCCCCATCCACGGTATCTGCATCCATATGCAATATATCCTTGCAACTACGGTACAATAATGGATCCGTGTCCCTAATTTCTTCCAATGATACGTCATATCCAGCCAATTGTAAGAAAAATGCGCGGTCAAAAGCTACTCCGATTTGGACATCATATGCTAAGGCCAACGCGATCATCCTTCCAGAGAACTGGAAATACTCAAGGTGTAAAGGATTCACCCCAGATGCTGCAACAAACACAAATGTACATGAGAAATATTTCTATTTTAAATAAAAAGGAAAAGGGTCAAGTATACATCTCCCTTAAAATTGCGAAAAACAATTTTAACGGACCTTATACTTGTATGAGTTTATATTTCAGGCTCTTTTACTTAGCCCTTAGTCAACTAAACTTCTAAACCCATTGAAACTTGGTATTTTGAACCCCTTTTTCATGAGGTCAATGGTGAGTGTAATACAACCACTACACCTCGAATTCCACGTCATTTTAATTGTCACATAGGAAATAAAATGATAAAATTAAATTAAACTTTCAAAATTTTATAAGAAATAATTTTCTCTTTCTTCCAATTTTTTCCCAACTCTTCTCTCATTCCAATGCCCTCACCAGTAAAATGCAGCACCGGTAATACATTTCTCGCCACCGCAGTGTGGTGGTGGAGCTATCACTCAAAGATGAAGACTACGCCACGTTCGATTTAGAAAAATTGGTATATAACCACGACTGCCCTAAATCACAAGGATACTTTCTCTAAAGCCCTAAAACACTCATTGCACCCCTTCCAAAACATTAAAGAACATACAAAGTATAGGTTGAGATGGGAGATAGTGAAGATTTACAGAAATTGGAATGATTGATATTGTTCGACTCTGGCAATGTTGAGTAGGTTGGAGGATACACGGTTACTTGTTGAAGAGTAAGTTTGATAAGTTCATTCGTTTTTACACCATGTAGTCACGAATACAATACTGAAAGTGATTACCACACACTCAAAAGGAACAACACTGTTAAATCTTGAGATTTTGAATATGGCAAAATTGAATTGAACAGGTAGTGCAACATGTTCCAGTGAAATATTGCAGCGGGTATGCAAGTGGCGGCGTACGTGTTATATATGGAAACTTATATGTACGTTTTTATTTATAGTAGTTTACTTGGTTAAGGAAAACTATTTAAAACAAATTTGAGTACAATAAGGTTTCGAGAAAAAGAGTTAGTAGAAGTCAACAAGGATTTGTAGAAGACAAATACAAGTTGATTTGTACAAGGATTGGCTGAATTTCTGGTTTATAAATAGAGAGCTATTTTGATCAGAATAACTTGCGCACCTACAAAGAGAGAACTTCAAAACACGATCAAGAGGGTTAAGAGAGTTTTGTTAAAATCTTTTGAGTGCTGCGAGTTGAGTGATAAAGTTGTAAAGATTGTATTCAAAAGTCTTGTTTACAATCTAGGTAGTAGATTTGCTTGACAAGTTATAGTACTTGAAAAGCATTGAGAAGATAGAAAACTAGGGAGTAGTTTTCCGTCTTTGAGTAAAAGGAATTAGAGTTTATAATTCCTTGAGAGCTTAAACGTTGTAATCTTTGTATTACTTGAAAGTTACAAATAATACAAAGTGCTGTTCAAATTAATCACTGATAAAGTTTCTTCAAGTAGCCACAAACTAGTTGTTAGTACGTGTTCCTTTGAAGAATTCAGGAGGGTAGAATTCCAACAAGTGGTATCAGAGCAAGGTTATCTTTAGAGAGTCTAACAACTCAAGATAAGATCAACATGAGTTCTACACCTCCACTCGGACACGGTAAGGGTCAACACATCAACAGACCTCCACTATTCAATGGACAATACTACTCATGGTGGAAGGCAAGGATGGAAGACTTCATTCAAGCTGAAGACTACGAATTATGGGTAAGAATTACTAAGGGACCACTAATTCCTACTATCACTGATAGTGAAGGAAATAAAGTACCTAAACCGGCAGATACATATAATGATGCAGATTATAAGATGCTAGGAAAAAATGCAAAAGCTAAGTGTATTCTTGTGTGTGGATTAGGACCTGATGAATTTAACCGTATCTCAAGTTGTACCTCTGCTAAACAAATATGGGATACCTTACAAAACGCTCATGAAGGTACAACTCAAGTCCGAAAATTCAGGATTGCTAGTTTGTGTTCAGAATATGAAGTCTTTAAGATGAAACCCGGAGAATCTCTTCAAGATATGATCACCAGATTCACCACCGTGGTAAACGAACTAATCTCATTAGGCAAAGTATATACCACGGAGGAACAGGTTGACAAAGTACTTAGGATTCTGCCTAGGTCTTGGGAAATCAAAGTCACTGCCATTAGAGAAGCTAAGGACCTAACTAATATGTCTTTAGATGAATTAGTTGGGAATCTCAAAACCTATGAGATGAATGTTGACAAAAGAGGTGAAGGGAATAAAGAAAAAGGTCTTGGTCTTAAAGCAACTGAAAGTGACGAATCAGACATAGATGACGATGATCTGGCTCTGATAAGTAGGAACTTCAAGAAACTCTTTAAAAGGGGATTAAACTCTACCAAGATATCACCACCCTTGAAAGAAAAAAATCCTGAACGATCACAAAACGGAGGCTGTTTTAAGTGTGGTAAGACAGATCATTAAATAAAGGACTGCCCAATGTGGGAATTAGAATGGAAAAAGGAAAAAGCTGAAAAAGAAAGGAAGGAACTCCTCAACAAAAAGAAAAACAAAGAAAAGGAACAAGCAATGTATGCAGCCTGGGGAACAGGTTCTTCAGACATGCATGAAGATGTTGAAGACCTTGCCTTGATGGCGATAGAAGAATCAGACGCTGAACCTGAATCAGACTCTGAAGAAACTGAAGTAAACTTTCTTAACCTAAAAGATAAGCTAGCAAAGTTCTCCAAGAAAAAGCTCTCACTCCTATTGCTTGCATCCATAGACAAAATTCAAGAACTTGTGAACACCAAAAGCCAACTACTTGCTTCCCGATCTAGCTTAAAGTTTGAGCATATTGATCTCAATAAGAACAAACTCAACCTTCACGAAAAAATCAAGCAACTTGAAACCCAAAATTTGGAACTAAGAACTAAGAATTCAAAATTAAAAGTTCTTGGCAAAGAAAAGGAGGGTGAAATGCCTGACCAAAAGCTTGAGGTTGACAAACTCAAAAAAAACCTTAAGTCTAGAAAAGGAAAACTGTAAAAGGATAAATCTTGAATTGACTAAAGTAAGAAGTGATCTGGAAAGAGCAAACAAATGGACAAAATCCTCTATGATAGTAACTCATCTAGGGAACAACAATAGGAACATCAAAACTGGAATAGGATATGAACAGCCCATAAATGGAAATCCTACGTTTTGCATCGTTTGTGGTAACTCTGGTCATTCTAAACAATATTATCCCAAATACAAAATTGTCTCTGAAGAAAACAACTCAACAAGAACCTATAAAACTGTTCAGAGGAACAGGTACATACCCAGAAAAAATAGTCTTCCCAAATGGGCTCGTAGAAATCTGATTCATCCTTTTGATCAAAACAAAGAACCCAAGCTAATCTGGGTTCCTAAATCCAACCTCTAATTTTTCAGGAAGAAGTGAGAGAAAGCAAGCAGCAGTGGTACATGGACAGTGCTTGCTCAAGACACATGACAGGGAATAAGACATTGTTTCTCTCACTAGAAGAAGGAAAAGGAGGTATGGTTGCTTTTGGTGGTGGAAAAAAGGGTCAAATCAAAGGCTGTGGAAAGATTGGAAGATCTGATGAACATTCAATTGATAAAGTATACTATGTAGAAGGACTTAAACACAATTTGCTCAGCATATCTCAATTGTGTGACAAAGGAAACAAGGTAATTTTTCGATCCACCGGCGTTGAAGTAATCAATCTAAACACACAAAAATTAGTGCTAACAGGAAAAAGAGATAAACATGTCTACACTGTAGATACCTCAACAATCTCTGACAAAAATCTAGTGTGTTTAAGTGTGTTGGAAAAAGATCCCTTGTTATGACATAAACGGTTGGGTCATGCTAGCCAAGTTCAATTAAATAAACTTGTCACCAAGGATTTAGTTATAGGACTGCCTAAAAATAAATTCAAGGTGGATAAGGTTTGTGAAGCATGTACTCTAGGGAAACAGATAAAATCATCATTTAAGTCCAAACAGATGGTAAGCTCAACTTGTTCCTTAGAACTAATTCACATGGATTTATGTGGACCAATGAGGGTTCAAAGTAGAGGGGGAAAAAGATATGTGTTTGTCTTAGTGGATGATTACACTAGGTACACATGGACACTATTCCTTGCAGCAAAAGATGATGTCTTTGATGTTTTTTGTTCACTAATGAGAAAAATTCAAAGAAAATATGGGAAACAATTAAAGGCAATCAGATCAGATCATGGAACTGAATTTAAAAATTCAAAGTTTGCCCAATATTGTGACTATCATGGGGTTGATCATAACTTCTCTGCCCCCAGAACCCCTCAGCAAAACGGTGTGGTAGAGAGAAAGAACAGAACTCTTCAAGAAATGACTAGAACTATGATGATCACAAGTAAAATTGCAAACCAATTCTGGGCAGAAGCAATAAACACTGCTTGCTACACCATAAATCATTGCATGACTAGACCCTTGTTAGAAAAAACTCCATATGAATTACTAAAAGGCAGAAAGCCCAACATCTCTCATCTTAGAGTGTTTGGATGCAAGTGCTTTATTCATAACAATGGAAAAAATTTGCTTGGAAAATTTGATGCTAGGAGTGACAACGGAATCTTTCTTGGATATTCTACATATAGTAAAGCTTATAGGGTACTTAACAAAAGAACCATGTGTGTCGAAGAGAGTGTCCATGTTATTTTCGATGAAAGTATCACTATGGCTAATGAAGATGTGTTGGTCAGTAACACATCAACTGAAGAACATGTTGTCTCTGAACATGAACAGGTCCAAGAAACCGGTTCCTCTGACACAACAAACAGAGAAGAAACTGAAACTCAAGTAAATTGTGATGAAGGAGTTGATACAGATGAAAATCAACCAGATGTTAATGAAGAGCAACAAAGATCAACTCCTACCCTAAAAGAGTACAAGTACCAAGGATCACACCCATTGGAAAACCTGCTCACTGATCTTTCTTCAGGAATTACCACCCGATCAGGAATGAAGAATCACTACGCGCATAGTGTATTCCTATCCATGGTAGAACCAAAGAAAATAAGTGAAGCCCTTCAAGATGCAGATTGGATTATAGCTATGGAAGAAGAATTACATCAATTTGAAAGGAGTAAAGTATGACATCTAGTACCTAAACCCTCAAACAGAACTATAATTGGAACTAAATGGGTGTTTAGGAACAAGTTAAATGAACATGGTACCATAATCAGAAATAAAGCTAGGTTGGTTGTTCAAGGATATAATCAAGAAGAAGGGATAGATTATGATGAAACTTTTGCACCCGTGGCAA